ACTTCAAACAAATACTGTGGAATACTTTATTTTCACTTGAAATCAGTATTTTCGCTGAAGGAATGATTCAGTTAAAATAAAATCCAGCGAATATACCTTTTTTTCTATATTTTACATTCAACTATTCAGTAAAAAGTATTTTACAGTACATAATTATGTTAATATGTATTACTTGATTCATAATGTATAGTTGTAAATTTTGATTGCAATCAGTCAAGGCATATGGCTGTGGAACGTCATTCGTTGATATGTCTGTCAGCGTGAAAAACGAAACTCCATGCATCAAAGTGTGTGCGCGATGTAGGTGAAGACCAAACAAAGAATCAAAGGACATTAACAGAATGAAGTTTTTGTCATGACTTTACCTTGCACACTTCTGTTGTTTTAGTTTATCTGTTCGTATACTTGACAGCAAATCTAATAACAACTTCACGTCATGTACTTTCCATGTCGTTTTACTCATTTTAGCTGTAAATGAAAAACAACAAATAAAGTCAAATCGAGATTGCCATAAGAATCATACAAATACAAACGTGAGGCAGCATGCATCATGAAAAATTACCAAAATTTTAAAATATTTTTTGGGGAAGAGAGACTTATTGCATATACATTCTGATTCAAAATAAAACTGGAAAAAAAAATTATTGACTACATTTATATATTTGTTTTGAAACCCTAATGAAGAACACGGGTGGTTCACCTTTGACCTTGGTGTCAGTTGGAGTTGAGAGTTTCAAACAAACATAGCTTTTGTTCTAACCTTTGATTTCAGGCAGCCCAACATCCAAGGCCAACTCAGGACTTGGAGACAGAATAAAATATTTGATGGCTTCTAAGATATTATCATGACAAGACTCAGCTTTAAATAAGCACTCCTCCATATTGGGAAGTCCTGCCTATATGTTGGCAAAAACATAGTTATGAATTATTCACATATCGAGAGATAAAAATGGTTTGCTCTCAGGTATCCTGTTTATTATTACACTACATACAACCATGAATTTCATATTTTCAAATGAAATATTAACTGTATTTTTATTTATTATTATTGGACAGTATTCCCCCGAGATTACACAGAATACAAAATTATACTTATTAGACAATATATTAATATGCAACTCGCCAAATATAGAGATTTGTGCGAAAGCAAGGGTGTTCATTTGCCTATATGAGTATGAGGAAATATAGATTTTACATTTTGAATATGTTCTGAGGTTTTTTTCCAATTTTTGACATACATGTAGATGACAAACAAGCCATGCATGGCACAGTCCCCGTTAGTTATCAAATTTAAGATATATAGTTTTGTTTATAGTAATATAGCTGGAATATAACCTTGTCAGGAATATGATTACTTGTACATATTGAGAGATATTGCTCCGGAACAGCATTCAAAATCAGACATTTTGAATACATGTATATATATAACATGATGTATAACGAATATATAAAATTTGAATATAATCAGTCAAAGCATTTAAGAATATGGCTCTAGAAGCCCATTCATTAAAACAAAATGCCGCCAAACAGCCATTTTGACCGATCTGAAAAATAAATGATGTGCATCAGGAACCTGTAATGTCTAATATATGTACATACCAAGATTGAACGAAATCCATCCATAAATGCCAAAAATGCTTGATATATGATTTTTTTTAGCACAAAAATGGCCACCATTTGGCCATTTTGAATAGGATCGTCAAACCAATATATCTGTCTATCTATGACGTGATGTATAATGAATATTTAAAATTTGTACATAATCAGTGAAAGCAAGTCAGAGACATGGCACGAGAACCACATTCATTAAAACAAAATGGCCGCCAGTCGGCCATTTTGAATCTTATCTAAAAACCAAAATTATTTGCATCAAGGTCCCATAATGTCCAATGTATATACCAAGTTTGAACAAAATCCATCTGTAAACAGCCGAGAAATGCTTGATTTTTAGGATTTTTTAGCACAAAAATGGCCACCATTCGGCCATCTTGAATGAGATCGTAAAACAAAATGATGTGCATCAAGGTCCTATAATGTCTAATGTATATACCAAGTTTGAACAAAACCCATCAGTAAACAGCTGAGAAATGCTTGATTTTGATGATTTTTAGCACAAAAATGGCCGCCATTCAGCCATCTTGAATCAGATCGTGAAACAAATTGACGTGCATATGTATAATATCATGTATGATGTATGTGTGAAGTTTGATTGTGATTGGTCCAGGCATTTCTAAGATACAGGTCCGGACGCACGCACAGACGCACGCACACACGCACGCACAGACACACGGAGGTCAAAACATAAGTCCCAGTTTTGTCATCTGAGTAAATATGAAGTTGCCATCGAAGCAGTATGGCATGTGAAATCACATACAGTGACTGTTTTTTTTAAAATTTACCACAGTGTAATGCATATATTACTCTCCTCTCAGGTGAGTTGTCCAGTCATGTATTACCCATACATTACCTTTGCATGTAAATCATTAATTTCTGACATACTTCCAGTACATCTTGCACATATTTTCACCAGAGGTAGTTCACTGACAGGGATCGTCTTCAACAAATCAACTGCCAGCTCCCTGTAAATCAGTAAAAAAATGAATTTCCACTCTGATGTCATTCTTATTTACGTTATTACCAATTTGAACAAATCTAGTTTTGTCACTTTTCACAAAATAAAATTGCACAATTTTTTCAGTATTCTTACAAACTTTTGATTAGATTAGATAGATCCCACAAAAAATTATATCCATTTAGTTTAAAATTAACAAGGAAATTATAAGAAAATAAATTTTAAAAAATGTGCAAAATGTAAATAATCATAACAAATTTACAAACATTTTATCATGTCTAGAAGTTAGTGAAAGTTTACACTTTTAATTTGATCACCATACTTGTTATTTGCTAACGTCTTTTTAGTGTTTTGTCACACATACTTTTAAGTTTCACCTCTGTTCCGAATTAATGTATGATGCAGTGTTTCTGAACAGGGACAAATCCAACGCACAAATCATGAATCATGGATATGATAGGTAAGATAGCAGTATCAATGCGACTGAATCATGGATATGATTATGGTCAATCATAATTTGATTTTCTGATTACTTCTAAATTTGGAATTGCACAATAGTACACACACACACACTGTACATTCTGCTATGTAATTCATTGTCATGAAAAATTTAATTATAAAATGCTTTCAGCAGAGTATAGTAAAATCAGAGCAGAGAGTGAGCATAACACAGTCAGAGCAGAGAGTGAGCACACCGCAGTCAGAGCAGAGAGTGAACACACCACAGTCAGAGCAGAGAGTGAACACACTACAGTCAGAGCAGAGAGTGAACACTACACAGTCAGAGCAGAGAGTGAGCGCACCACAGTCAGAGCAGAGAGTGAACACACCACAGTCAGAGCAGAGAGTGAACATACTACAGTCAGAGCAGAGAGTGAACACACCACAGTCAGAGCAGAGAGTGAACACACCACAGTCAGAGCAGAGAGTGAACACACTACAGTCAG